AGGGAGTTTTTCCTTCCCACTGTCGCCAAAGTGCTGCTCATAGGGGGTCATATGATTGTTGGGTTTTTCTCTGTATCTATGAAGCGCCTTGAGGCGACTTTTGTTGTGATTTGGCACTATATAAATAAAATTGAATTGAATTCAAAATAAGATACTCAAATACGCTCCCTGACACCTTTAAAACGGTGAGAACTAAACAGCTTGTGTCAGACAGCCGGGGGACTCCATCAAGCCCCAGTATGATATAAATAAGGATTATTTTGAACTTTTGAATCATGCAAAGCTACTCTAGAGTTCAAAACTTTAAAAAAAAGGAGCATCATAGATCTCACTTAAAGCAGTATTTCAACTTTTTGTTACAGCTCACATCAGTGGACTCATTATCATAAGACACGTTTAATACATTTAAAAATAAAATACACAATGACAACTACAAACTGACTCCTTCCTCAAGCTATTTTTGGACAGTAGTTGTCACATGGGGGCAGTGTGACTACCAGACTGTACAGGAAATTGCACAGATTCTGCAAAGCAGCATTTTCACTGCCATCTCTGCGGTTCTCCGTCTGTAGTGAAGCAGTAGTGCTCCCATATAGCTTGCTGTAAATATGCCAAGCACCTTACATGAGTCTGTTATGTATTATTCATGAACGGTAGGTCATAGACAACCGCTTTAACTGCATTAGTATTCATCCTGTTCTATTGTGCAGCACAAAGGCTTCAAACAGCACAGACTATACTTAACGCCTCCACTGTGGCAGATCAAGTTTGACTGTCTTGCTCAGAAGCACTCGTTTGTCTCGTTCCCAGCGTGACCACTTGGATCAAACTGTGCGTGAGCAGATTATCATATATGGACCTTTAGCTGATACAAATGGTGCTCTTCTGCATCTTTGTTTGACGCAGTCTAATGAATTTCTCTGATTAAAACTCAGAGAATGAAAAATGTAAGTGCATCTACTCTGCTGAGGCAAAGCAGGTGCACGCTGAGAAGAAGAAACCCCCCCAAACTATATTAATGGTTAACTTAAATGAGTTGTATTTTTCAGACAAAGTGTCTAAGTGATGCACATGTCAGGTTAAACACCTGGATCCAATCCCCCTCCAGAATTAAGCAGCTTTAAATGTCCCTTTATGGCTAATCTTTAACCATGAACAGCTCGTTAGCATTCAGTTTGAATAAATTCTGTAATTTATCAATTTTGGATCAATTCTGTTGAGGAAAATTATTCAAAAGCACCTCTAAACTATATACTTAATGCAGTTTTGAGATTACACTCACCAGCCACTTTATTAGGCACATCTTTTCAACTCCTCATCCATGCAAATATTGAATCAGCCAATCAGATTGCATCAGCTCAAAGCATTTAGGGGCTGTAGACATGATCAAGACGACCTGCTGAAGTTCAGACCAAGTATCAGAATTAGGAACAAAGGTGACTTTAAGGGACTTTAAACACGGTGTAGTAGATGATCCTAGATGGGCTGTGGGGTTTACAGAGAATGACTGCAGCTCTCTGGGTGAGAATGTTTTGTTGATGTCCAAGGTCAAAGAAGAATGGACAGCCTGCCTTGAGCCAGTAGAAAAGCAACAGTAACTGAAATAATCAGTTGTTACAGCAAAGACATGCAGAAGAGCATCTCTGAACATGCAACACATGTTGAACCTTGGAGCTGATGGGCTACAGCAGCAGAAGACCCCACCGAGTGCCATTCCTGTCAGGAACAGGAAACTGAGGTCCACACCGCTTCTCCGATATCGGACAACACAAGATTGTCCAATTGATGAAACTCTACTACGACCTTCAGATGGTATTTTCAGAAAATGATGTAAACAACATGAAAGGATGGAAGCATTCAGCTTTGTATCAACGGCTGAGGATGGTGTGGGGATGTTTTCACTTTGGACCCCTCAGTACCAGTTGAGCATCAACTGCCACCTGGTATTGCTGCGGACCATCCCTCTATGACCACAGTGTACCCATCTGCATTTCTTACAGTTTAAGTCCAAAGCAGCATTTCTTTATCATCTAAAAAACAAACTGAGGTGTACTGCTTTAATCTTTTTCTTATATTCAAACATCCCAGAGTTTACATGCGTGGTTGGCCAACTTCGCACTCACAGAAAGAGTCTCACTGGTCCACCTCACTTCAGATCGACGCTGGCTGTTATGTGTCCTACAATGTAAAATCAGTTTGACATCCTTGAAGCAGATCCCTGTTTTGCTCCGCTCTACGTTGTTCCTGTTCTTTTCTATTCTGTATTCCACATTTCATATAATCTTGATTATTGAGCCTGTGCTCCAACCAAAGCTGTTTAATTGGCTGCTCTTCTAATCCGTCTCCTTGGGTCTGATTACTGGCACCAACTTAATTAGGGGGTTTTCCACTTCATTTAAAGACTAAGTGGCCTTTACCTTTTCTTTAATAGAGTAACAAGTAGGGGCCCCTGTATGGTCACACTGCAACTGAATTCGTGTGAGGTGTACAGAAACGTGTCGCAGCGGTAATGCGGTTAGATGTGCAGCCGGCTGGTGGCTGCCCGGTTGGCCGGTGAGGTGGCACGGGTCGCCTGGTGCAGCTGCTGCGGGGTTAGGGAGAGCAGCCGCTGTGGCCACATTAAAAACTGCATCACTGTTTTTTGTGACAACTGTAGATCAGCGAGCCATCAGCTCCCCCTCTCCCTCGTTTCAGGGATTTGTAGTCCTTAGCGTAGGGAACGCCGCCGCGTGTTGGAGGCCTTTGCGGGAGTGAAACTACAGTTCCCTCAGAGCTGCTCGGAGGTGTTAGTTGTCAATATGGCTGTTGTCAGACAGACAAAGCAGAGAGGCAAATAATTCGCCTCTGATTAGAAATCCTTGGAAAAGGGTCGGACAGGGCACTGTTCCCAGCTGCTTCATTGCTCGGCTGCAGTAAACGACACCGCGCCGCTTTGCTTCCGTTACAAAGTTAAATGGTTAAGTGGACGATTTGAACCCGAGGTAAGTCCTGTTACTCGGCTCTCTCGACACAGAAAGTGATGTTATTAATATCAAACGCTCGCTAGCCAGCGACGGCGGCTAACGTCAGCTAGTATCGGCGTTGGCACGGCTAGCGTTGTATGCTAATCATCGCACGAGCCCACGGCGACCCGCGTAGCCCACCTCAGGTGGCTAATCGCCCTCCGCGATGCCAGGGGGCTGTTGTCAGTGTGGATTCAGCCTCGGGGGGCAGTGAAGAAAACGAGAGCAATCCTCGAGTGTTACGGAGGGCTCGCCGTGCTGGGTAATTTTGACGTTTAGTCAGGGCGGTTTGTCCGTGTGCCGCACGGAGCGCTCGCTAACGTTAGCTTTCGGGCAAAGGGCGTGAAAGCTGGCATCAGCAGCGCTTCGCCTGCAGCGCTGAAAGGTGCTCTCACTGCGGGCCAGCAAAACAAAAACACATGGAGGGAGAAGAGATGCCGCCAACTGCGGGGCGAAGCGCTTTAAGACTGGAAGCGTTTAGAAAGCTGCGCTGTCAGACAATCTAGAGTTTGTGTTTAACGACACCGTGGCTGTGTTTTTATTTTGTTGTAGTTTTGCTGTTGGCATGACAAACACTCTCCGAGTTCGTGAACTTCGCTGCGCTGTTATCAGGGGACATCCAAGCCCGATAGGAATGCAGACAGCTCCATCTTTAGCTGCTTTAGTTACGTGCAGGGTGAACTTGCCTTCTGGGTGAATGGGTAACTTACCCACTTGATCACAGTGGGCATGAATTCAAATGTTCTTGTTTGTTTGCAGCACACATTTTTCTTTCACTTGCATGTTTAAGCTCACTAATCCAAATCCAGCGGTCTTCTGTTGTGTGCAGCCCGTCTTTCTGGGGTGTGACAGATTTTGACTCTGCTTGGTAATGATTTACAGCATTAGCAGCTCACCTTCTAAACACCAAGGACTAGTTAATGTTCACCTGTCAGCGCTGCAGAAATAATGTGCTCAGACCCAAAATGACCCTTTACTGCACGTGTCTGAAGGCCTGGTAATGGTTTATGTGCCAGTGTCCCCCCATTATTTATGATAACTTCAAATGCACTCAGAAGTCATTTATGTTTCCTCCCCCCTCCGCTCTGTCCTCCGCACAGTTTGGAGAAAGACAGATGTAGAAAAATGCCAGTGACCCCTTTTAAACCGTTTATCATATCGGCACAGGTCGGGCTGGCACAGAAGATGGAAAATCTGCCGCAGTCTGATTCCAGTTGCATTGATTTTGAGCACAGCAAATTGCTCGTGAAAAACATACAGCGTGGGTGGTGCGCAGAGCCGAGGATGTATTGTGGCTCTTAAAGAACGACAGACAGAATGTTAAGATAGCATCAGCTGTCAAGGTGACTCTGGCACTCTGTGCGTGTTGCCTGCTGCTTCCCAAAAATAGCTGATTTTTATGCCCTGCCCCTCCCCTCGCCTTTTTTCCTTTCACACTTCTGTCTCTCGCTCGTCTTCCTTTTCTTCTCCGCTGCCTCTTTATATTTTCTTCCTGCAGTTTTTTATTCCCCTCCCTTCCCACCCGTTTTATGCCTACTTTATCCCTCTAACTCTCCTCCGCTACCTTTATCCTCCTTCCCCATCTGTGACTGCGTTCCTTTTCACTCTTTGCTACTTAATCCTCTCATTTCCTCTGTCATCCACCATCCCCTCCACTGCCTGACTTGCTCCTCCTTTCCTTTCCTTCTCCACTTACTTTTCTAAGGATTCCTTCCTACTTTCCTCAACTTGCCCCGTCTGCATTTCCTGTTTCCTTTCCTCGGCTTGTGTTCCTCTTGTGTTTCTCAGCTTGTCTGTATTGTGTCTCATCTCAGCAGCAGCAGCAGGATGTCTGAGTTCAGCGAGGAGCCGCGCTTCACTATTGAGCAGATAGATCTGCTGCAGCGGCTGCGTCGCACCGGCATGACCAAGCAGGAGATCCTGCATGCGCTCGACACTCTGGACCGGCTGGACCGGGAGCACGGCGACAAGTTTGGCCGCCGCACCTCTTCCTCCTCCTCCTCCTCGTCCTCCTACGGCGTAGGCGGGGCCAACAGCTGCACCAACAACTCTGCCTCTAATACTACTACTACCACGTCATTCAACAATAACAACACTGCCTCGGCAACCACCACCTCTTCAGCGTCATGCAATGGCGGCGGCATCAACAGTGGCGGTGAGGGTGGAGCCACCGATCACGCCGCCGCTGCCTCCTCTTCAACGACCTCCAAAATCTCCACAGCCACGCAGACGCAGTTCAACAGCGCCGGGGGGCTCTCGCTGTCTCCCAGCAACAGCTACGACACGTCCCCGCCTCCAGGGCCGCCGCCGCCCTCTGCCATCCTGCCGTCCCCGGTCTCGCTGGTGGCCCTGACACAGAACGGCCGCGACAGTCTAGCTGCCACCCCCAACGGAAAACTGTCTCCGCCACGATATCCGGTGAACAGCGCTGCAGCGACGCGAGCGTTCGGGTTTGAATCTACAGAGGAAGATCTGGATATCGATGATAAGGTGGAGGAGCTGATGAGGTGAGAATGACCAGAGAAACTTTGTCGAGTCTGTTTGTAGAACTGGGAAGAATAATGCACTGCACAAAAACGTCACCAGAGGGCAGTATGTAGTAGTACCAGGCTGCTGAGCTCAGTAAGCTGTGAAAGATGGTGACGGGGAATAATACTGCGGGGTGTAAATGGTTCTTATATAGCGCTCGTCCGAGCACTCAAAGCGCTTTAAACAGCTAATTCATTCACCTGTTCACACGCTTAAGTATCTAACATTCATACACATTCACACTCTGATGGACGCATCGGAGAGCAACATGGGGTTAGTATCTTGCCCAAGGATATTTGGCATGCAGCAGCCTGGGATCGAACCACCGACCTTCTTAGTGGCTGATCCGCTCTGCCACCTGAGCTACAGCCACCCCACACTTACTGCTAGTGAGTCACTGCTAGGATGGTGAAACTTCAAGCGGCTAGTCTGAAATAATCATCGACACGCCTCAGTCTAGTGTGGCGCTGTCCACAGTCACAGTACTTTCACAGAAAACACACGGACGACACTGAAACTGTTTCTACAACTCGATGCCTGTTTTCCTGTTGTTTTGTTCTTAAAGGTTGCAGCCGTCACTAGGTTGGGGGATTGCTTTTTATCACCAGTAAAGCTGGTAAGGTGAGGGCTAATTAGCAGGAACTTCAGTTGAAGCTTCATTGTGTGCAGCTGCTGCTAGAACTATACATGAAGCTGTAGATATCTCATGTTCATTTGTGTTCATGACCTGGGGGCTCTAAATGTAATATCCGTGCTGTTGCATTTAGCTTCATGTTGCATAAAATGTCTTTGGGAAGCCTGTCTGTAGGTGATGTTACTGAACAGTGATGAAATGATTCTTGCTTCACTGCAAGAAGGCACTAGCAAAAAGTTACGGGCAGATTTAGATAAAAACCTTTGGAGGTGATTGTGATTTGGATCCAAATTTGTGTGAGAGGAACAAGATTGGACACTGAAGAAAGTATTGCAAACGTATCTGGATGCAAGTACCCAGCTGGATGCACGTGGAGGGAATTTTCTGGCTTGGCTGATCGATACACCTCGAAGTCTGAAGCAGCAGCAAGTGCAAGGTTGGTTCATCTTCTCAGGGAGTCATTTGTGATCTTCATTCTGAGGTTTATCCCACTTTGTCACTTGACTTTTACCAATGGGACGTCGGGATGTGCGCACCGATGAGCTCATTAGTGAGCTCGTAGTGTTACTGATTGACCAAAGCTTTAGGAATCTATTTAGCTTGTTTATTTGTACAAAGCTCATTTGAGTGAACACACAGCAGTTCAGCAGTGGGTTTAAAGCTGCCTGGGTCCTTCCTGTGGAGAGTCTGCATGTGTGGCTGCTCTGGTTTCCTCCTGCAGCCCAGAGTTAATTGGTAATTCTAAAATTGGCCGTAGGTGTGGACTTGAGATGGAGAGAGCGTGTAAGTGTATAGATTGGAGCCCTGTGCGAGTGTGGCTTGTTTGAATGGTCAGGACGACAACAAAAGCACTGTGGAGACGACTGTCCATAAAGCTTGAGGGCTTTTCCCCTTTAACTTTCTGTACCTCTTATATCATATTGTGATGATGATGCCCACTTGAGGGGAAATCATGGGCTCTACAGTATGGATGCAACATACAGCTAACAAAAAGTTGAATTTCACTCTCAAAAGCTTATTTTAGCAACATGTGGTAGCAAGGTGCTGTCGATTCCTGAGACACCCAAACATAACAGTTACTCTGAGGTGTCAGAGTTGTCCACACTCCACTATAACACGTGTTATACACAATTTAAAAAAACCTTGGTTTCACTTAGAAGGATGTTTTCTGCTGATAGATGGAGGTAACTTCCCACAGTGGGGAGCTGTGCCTCGTTTGGCCCACAGGTGTGGGAGGGTTGTCTGTAATGGCACAAATAAGAGGGTAAAACAGGGTTAAGGGCACGGTTTCACAGTAATGGGCTCATCCAGTGACGTGTGTAAGGAGTTTCATTCATATAGACAAACGCATCATTTTCTCCAGTTTGTGTTGTAGACTTTTGCAGTCACAGCGTCCTCAATCTGACTGTGCGGCTGCACCCGTTCCTGCGTGGTGGCCTTTCTGCCAGCGGCGCTTTAAGGCGGCATTAGAGCAGGGCGATATGACCGAAAATATTTATCACGATATACATTCGAAAATTTGTGATAACGATAAAACTGACGATATAATTGACACGAGGCAAAATACTTTACAACTCCTCAACTTTATTAGTGCAAAACACCCACCAAAGTATTTTCACTTAAACAAGCAGCTGTTTTTTGCATTAAAGTTATTTAAAATGTAACAGTGCAAACTCCTCGCTGACAGTTTAACCAAAGGCGTTTCCAGTGGAAACTGGCCGACACATCCTCAGCATAACCATGTATAACATCCACACAACTTAAAAAGAGGTTATACACACACAGTACGGTAACATTATGTTGAAGCACAGCACGTATCACTCCGCGAGGCTCCGCCTACGATAGCCGTAATGCTCCGACAATCCATCAAGCGGTGCGGCTTCGTAGCTCAGCAAAGTCGTACTGAAACATTTGACAGATTGTCGAGCGCCGTGCACATAAAATCGTTTCCCGAAACACAACCAGAGTTCATACATAAGGCACACGGGATTATAAGGGGCTCTGTCAACTTTCAGAAAAATCAAAGGATGATTTTAAGTGCGCCGTATTTTCCAAACAACACGGTAATAACGACGGCCCGCTAGCATGCGCTACCAAAAATAGTGCTTTGTTGTGTATCTGACGGACGAAAGCTAAACCAGTTCCACACCAGTGAAGCTGCAGCATTTTTACAAACCAGTTCAGGTTCATCTGTTTCATTCAACGATCTGCTTTCACTCTTCTCGTTCTGCGTCGACACCATGTGCGTATGTAAACCCAGGCGCTGCGCATGCGCGTTTTACCCATATTTCATTTTCTTATCGTTGCCCAACATTACATTACCGTGAACGGTATGATATAGCCCCGCCCTAGGCGGCATTCATCTAAAGCCACGAGTTTGTCTGGGATGATGGCCAGGTGCTAAACGGCCGTAAGCGTGGACTCCTAAAGCTCTTTGGCAGCCTCGTGCCAGTAAGCAGTCTGAGAGACTTGAGTTTGTGGTCTTGGCAGTCATTTTCACACATCTCCACACCTGATTGTGCACACTAGTGTGTTTCCTAGTTTGTCTTCAGCTCTATTTTTGTATTGAGCTCTATATTTGTCAGTGACCAAGTCAGTTCATCGTCTGTCTATCTTCTTTACTAAAGTAATAACTGACCTGGAGGGGTTGAAGATGGCGTTCTTTTTTTTAAGGTCGTATGTGTGTGAAAGCGTCTCTTTTACACTGTGTCGACTGTTTGCACGTCGCTGCTCGCTTCACTGAAAAGATGAAATGACAGGGAGAAACAGGTTGCTTTGAGCAGATCTCACAGTGAAGGAAAGTAGAAGTATATGGAGACGAGGCATTCACTGCCAGGACTGGTGCTTCCTGTGTCCTTGCATCGTTCCCTCCTTGGTGTGCGCTCTCACCGCGGTCGACACATAAACAGACTTTTATTCTGCGCTGATGTTAGCCGGGAAATAAATCAAATGGTTTTTTTATTGATAAGGATAGAAGGCCAGTGAGGTGCAGAGCCTTTTCTCCTTTATGGTTAAAAATAAAAACCCAGGCTGTAGGTTACATATATTCAAACACAAACCCTTTAGAGCCCACCATACCCATACGGAAAAGAAATAGTAAAAACTTATATGTGATTACTCATGAAAGTGGCCACTTTCATGAGTAAATCATATAAGGCTTACATGATTTACTCATGAAAGTGGCCACTTTCGCATTACTTTCATACATTGTTTTAGTAAGTATCCAAAACATACAAGTTTCATTATATAATTTTTCAAGGGATCTTATATCTGTTTTCACACTTATATGCTTTTCATACAAGTTTCACACAAGACAGATACAAACTTTATAAGATTTATATATATCTTTTCCATATGGGTAGACCCAAGTCTGCCAGAGCTTATCTTTATATTTTTACATGCTGTAGTGCAGGGCTCGCAAAATCGCTAGCCCGACGTCCCGGAGCTAGCGATTTTTCCAGTCGGGCTACCAAAATCTATCTCTGCCCTGCCCGTCGGGCTATCGTAGGAAGGAAAAATATATGTCAATGCTTTTGCATTCTTTCAGAAATGTAGCTGGGTAATTATGTCATTGGCATCGGTGAGCCACTGTCAATATGTGACATATTGAAATCGCGTTTGAATTTGCGCTTGTTTTTTGCTTTCACTTTGCAATCACGCAAACTGTGTATAGAGAGCGACAGCACTGATCTGTGAGTGATGATAATTTGTGCACCAATTCCTCTGACATCGTCTTATTAATCGTTAGCTTACTATGCAAACATGACAAGTGAAATCTCCCGCAGCTTAAACATAGCCATAAAAACTGCGGCCTGGGACAGGCTGAATGCATATAACTCCTCATATTTCAAATGCAAAAGAAATATTGTGCTAGCTTATGTGGTTGCAATTCTACCGGCATTTAAAAATAAAAATAGTTGTGCAAAACGGAGCGTGCACGCTTCAATAGGCCTTGAAGGGTTAAAGCTATCTGGATGTGTCTATGCACTGGAAACTCTGCACACACAAAAAGCCTTGTACACGTGGGTTTCCATGTGCTTCTTGCTTTCTAGGAAAAGGATTCATGTTGAAAGATTTCAAATATCCGTTACCAGAATTAAAAATGTTCTTAAAAAAAATCTCTTGTTACACAAATTTACCTTCACTTGGAGATTTTAGAAAAATGGAGGCGGAGAGGGCAGAGGCAGCAGTTCATGTGTCTCATCTACTACATCTACTCTTATTTTACAGTTTGTTCATACAAAATGTTTTCATGGTGAAGTCTGAAGTATTTGCAAGCAGCATTATCTAGAAATGTTTTTGAGCCAAATGTCTGATATGATTTCAGGAACCTGGAGTTTCAAAAGTGAAGCTAAAGTTTGACACAATCGTCTGAAAAATGGACGGCACAGACAGCAGCTCCTCGTTCTCTCGCATTTGATGCAAAACCGTTTCTGTTTGCATCCGTAACACTAATGATTCTTCATGCTGCACGATCTGTCTCGTGCACCGGAGCTGTTGTATCTGATCTCACTGAGTCAAAGGTGGTTTAGTCTGAAGGCTGAGCGTTTTGCTTACACAGATTACGTTTTCATACCACGTTCAGTATGAGCATGCACCACTGTAACAGCACAGCTACAGACCAGTAGTCCTTGGACGAATCCTGGACGTTATACGCTTGTCTCACAGAGATGCAGCATATAGACCGTTACACATGTACGAAGAAGCGTGTTGGACGGGGCTGTGACGTGTGGATGGGCCCAGGCACCGTGGGCCCTTCTATTTCTGGGGCTTTTCACGTGACGTCGCCCTGTTGACAAAGTCTGTCGCTCACAGACTGACAGACACACCTGCCGACGTACTCCAGATCTGTTCGGGGACCCATTTTGTGATCATCTCACACACACAGTGAAAGCAGCAGCAGCAGCGTCATCACGACTGCTGCATGTGCCCTACATTATCTGGCAGTGCTGTTCGTTCCAGCACAGAGGAAGTGGAAATGTTTTAGCTGCATCACATACACCAAAGTTGTTGTCCTCCTCGTTAATCCCCAGCATTTCAAAGGCTGCCCTGGGAAACAGGAGCCAGTCATATTTGGACTTTTTACTTTTTCTGAGCCAAGCCATCTCTGCATCTTTCCCCAGCTTGAATATGAGAGTGCTGCGCTTGTCTTCATGCAGCCTAGCCTGCCGGGGTTAACGCAGACCGTGAAACTTTGCAGTTTAGTTCCATCTAAATGACCTCCCTGACTCGGGCATTTGCTCTGCTGTCGTGAAACTTGCCTTTCCAGCTCCCGTCACTTTGACATCTGACTTGAGGAAATGTTTTGCTGTAGCAGCGCGCCCGTCTGCAGTTCAGCTGCGACACAAATGCAGATCTGTTGCCAGATTCTTACTATGAAGATGGGGACTAAAGAGATCCGGTTTTAATACCGGATAAAGAGACGGCAGCGTTCTGGTCTCTCCTTAGGAGCAGAGCACGTGATGGATGAGAGTTTTGGCTCGTCCCCTGCGTCGCCCACAAAGACGTGCATCCTGTGAGGCTTCAGAGCAACCCGAGCCGGCACAGAGGCACTTTTGTCGGGGACGATGCACATCGTCAGAAAAGGGAACCGCTCGAGTTCAAGCTGATCTCCTGTAAGAGGGAAGAGAGAACAAGCTTTGTGTTGTGCACCTCTGGAAACATTACATGAAACTGCATTTAGTAACATTCAGCTATGATTAGGTTTTGAGAGCAGAGGCTCAGAAGTTTTTCAGGCCCATTGACAGGTAAAGTGTTCATAATCTATAAAAGTGTGCGTGTTAGCGCCTCGTCTCTTCCTCCTCTAAGCACTTCACACATGCGCTGTCTCCTCCTACTGCTGTGCTGTCCCGCTGCCTTCAGCTGCCCTGTGTGAACTGTACGAGTAAGAATAGGCTCCGTCGTCAGCGACCAGCCCGCTGCTCACTCGCGCTGCCTCTGCATTAGATTACGCGTCCTTTTTAGAACGACCGAGAAGTTAAGTAGCGTTCAAAAGCCCTCGTCTGCTGCAGGGCTCTCCAGCTTCTCGCTCGGCAGGGCTGCGGGGGCGTGACACGAGGTCTCAGCCTGTCCGCTGTCCACGGTGCCCTTTCCCTTTTTTCTCACTTTCAAAGTGCACACTTGCTTCTCTGCAGGAGTTTGGCCTTTGAGTTGGCACCCAAAACATCCCCCCCTCTCCTCCCCAGTCTCGTAGCTTGTACAGCAGCTCGTGCTACATTGATTCACTGGTGTCGATACAAGCAGCGTTTTTTCTTCAGGCTCTAATTTTAGCCCGCGCCGTGAGAGGCTGGCGTGGATGATATTGATGCTGGATGTCAAAGAGTCGTGACGCATTTTCATTTCACAAATATGCCAAACAGAGTGCTTAGGACTTTGATGCGATTTCCATTTTGACTGTGTGAGCCTGGGATAGCGGCTGGTTCAAAGGCTGCTGTGATTGTGGGGTGGGGGGCGGGGGGCAGGGAGGGCGCCTGCTGGAAACGCTGTCGTGTAAAAAACCTGAATGCACTTTCAGATTCAGACACGTGTTCAGTCTGTGCTACACGGGAATGAAGCTGAGACAGAGTGTGCGTGTGTGTG